TGGCTTTTATGGAGTCTAGATGAAGCTGGAGGATGAGAAAAAAGCACCCAAGGACTATGTGCTGGCTACAGGCTGCACCGTTCCTATACCTGTACGACACAGTTTTAATTCTTAGATTTTGAATCATTATTGTTCCGGTTGTTCATTGGTTGGCCCATTGCTTTTTTGATTTGGTATGCTACCATAGGAGGGTTTCTACTTAAAGATGATCTATCAAAAAAGAAGTAGTCGCAGTCATAGTAGTAGTAGTAGTAGTAGTAACAACAACAACAACACAAGTGGGATAGTCTTAGGCTTCTGCTTAGTAATCTCAGCTTTTGGCAATGTAACTTGCATTGACAAAGATGGGGTTGAGTGGAAATGTGAAGAGATCTGAAATGTGGTGTTGGAGATGAACTTTATGGATACAGTGGACTGCCAAAAAAGACGTACGGATGGGTCCGAGAGCAAATCAGTGCTGAATTCCTACTAGAAGCAACTGAGGCTACCATACTTTGGGTACATTATGAGACAACGCAACTCCTTGGAAAAACAATAATGCTAGGTAAAATTGAAGGCAGAAGGAAAAGAAGAAGGTCTCATGACGGGTGGATTGAGTTATTCAAGGAAGCCATGGTTGTACCGCATTTGCAAGACCTGAACAGGGCTGTTGATGACTTGGAGGTCTCTCATTCATAGAGTCGCCATAAATCAAAGTGACAAATAACAATAAGAAGTACAAAGCCCATGAAGTGGTGAGAGAGGGTAGAGCTTCAGCCTGATATGTGCCATCTGGATCTCAAAAGGAGGTAGCATATGGGTTAAGCTAGAAGGCCAAAGGGCTGTCCAGCCAAACCACTGGATAAGCTGAAGAGATGTGGATCATCTCCCATGATGCCAGTAAAGGATCCACCATTTAGAAAATGAGCTCAACATTTTTAGAGTCTTTCAGCCCTTGTAAGAAGGGCTTCTGAAGCTGATCGAGCATTAAATGAACAAACCAAACGCTATTCAGGTTGAGTCTCCCTTATACAGAATTCCAACATCTGAAATATTCCAAAAACCAAAACTTTTTTCATGGGTGGCTGAGATAGGGACACCTTTGCTTTTCTGATTTTTTTCAGTTTAAACACACTTTGCTTCAAATACAAAATGATTTAAAATATCGTATAAAGTCACCCTCAGCTGTGTATTTAAGTTGTTTAGGAAATCTAAATGAACTTTCTGTTTAGACTTGGATCCCGTCGCCAAGATATTCTGTTACAGGTATTCCAACATCCAAAAAGAAAACCCCTGAAAGAAACCCCAAATCCCAAACGTTTGGTCCCAAGCATGTTGGAGAAGGGGAACGCAATCTGTAGTAAGAAATCCAATGAGAAATCCTTGGAAGAGCCTGGGAAAGTTGTATTTTGAACTACAGCTCTCAAAATCCTCCAGCCAGAATAACCAGAAACCATGCAATTGAGAAGTTGAAGTTGGGGGAAAAATCCCAAAACCTGCTTATTGGTAGGTTGATACGTTTCCATTTATTCATCTAATATGGATCAGACGTTGTTGTTGTTGTTGTATGCCTTCATTGTGGAGACCCTAAGGGAGCCCATTGTTGTTGTGGTTGTTGTTATGTGCCTTCAAGTCATTTTGGATTCATGGCAACCTTAAGGCGACCCTATCATGGGGTTTTCTTGGCAAGATTTGTTTGGAGGAAGCCTGCCTTTGCCATCCCCTGAGGCTGAAAGAGTGTGACTTGCAAGGGGGCCCTATTACAAGGTTTTCTTGGCACGATTGTTTCAAAAATGGTTTGCCTTTGCCTTCCCCTGGGGCAGAGAGCGTGTGAGTCCAGTGTTTTTACATGACCTAGCCAGGATTCAAACCCTGGTCTCCAGAGTCATTGTCCAACGCTCGAATCGCTACAGCCATGCATATGACATTTGTGCGTGTTCAAACTCCATCCCTCAAGTGACACACAACTGCAGCTCTGGTCCCTAGCAAGCTGTTAGTGCCGTGCCGATAATAGCAACTTTAGATTCTGCTGCCAGAGTTTCCAGTTTCTGAGACCCAAGGGATCCGACTGCGCCTGCAGATTTTCTACAAAATGGGGAAGCCTGCTGTTTGAGTCCGTCCGCCTTTTCCCTCGGTTTGATTCCCAGGTCATTCTGTTCTTCTCTATTTGAGAAAAGTCCCTCGGAAGAGCAGCGCTTAATGGCAGAGTGTGAGTCCTTGGTTAAAGTTTAGAAGGATTTATATTTATTAGTTGCCGGAGTTTGTAAGATTTCCTGCTCAACTGGTTCTGTATACGGCCACAGCTCTTCTTTGTCCCAGTGTATGCTCAGATTGAACTATTATTCTCTCGTGGGGAAAGCGTTCGTCTTGTCACTGATGGATCATCTACAAAATACACAGAGACAGAGCAAAGAAGTCCAGGTCTGAAAGAGGCTGGAAGCTTTACCTTCTGGCTTGAGCTAAACCTGTCATCTCTTCTCAGAGCCTCCTTCTTCCTCTTCCACAAAGGAAACCGTTCTTTGATCAGGAAGACGAATATCAAGATTTAATAGACAAACTACCTGGGGTGCATCTGCACTGCAGCAATAATGCAGTTTGACATCACTTTGACTGCCATTGCTCCATCCTGCAGAATCCTGGGACTTGTAGCTTTGTGAGGCACCAGCACTCTTTGGCAAAGAAAGCTAAAGACCTTGTAAAACTACACATCCCAGGATTCCACAGGATCGATCTCCAGCAATTAAAGTGGCGTCAAACTGCATTATTTCTACAGTGTATCTGCCCCTATGGAGGATTATTTACATTCTTGTGCCTGACTGGAAGACTGAGCCATCTTGAGTACTGCACTCTGCCAAAGAGTGTTGGTGCTTCATAAAACTACACATCCCAGGATTTTGTATGATGGAACCATGAGAGTTAAAGCAATGTCAAATTGCATTATATCTACAGTGTAGATACACCCCATGTAGTCTGTCTATTCAACTTTGAGATTAAACCTCACATCCCAGGATTCTGACGGATGGAGCCATGACAGTTAAAGTGGTATCAGCCTGCATTATTTCAACAGTGTAGATACACCCCCTAGTCTAACATTAAACCACTACGCACGCTGCCTCTGGAGCGCCCAGAATCCCTCACCCACCATGGCTAGTAGCCACATTTGCTGGAGGTTTCTGAGCATTATAATCCAAAAGTAACTTTTCCAGGCTCAGAAGACTTCCGATGACCTCCTGCCTCCTTGCATCACATCTTAGCTGCACGCTTCTGGGGCAGATTTTTCACTCGGCTCTTCCTGCCTGAGCTTTCCGTCTATTCCTAGCCTCTACAGGTGCGGACATTGTCTTCCCAAGGGCCAGCCGGCGTCACAGAATAAATTGGAGATGAAACGAAGTCCTTTGATTCACTGAAAGGCTCTGGCCATTCCTTATTGTCTGCCGTTCTCGTAAGTCCTGCCGTCGTCATCCTCTCGCCGCTCAAGCCTTTTCCAAAGAGGAGATGTTTCATCTCCAGCGGCACAAAATGTTCCCGCTGGGTGGGATCCAGAAAATGTTCCTCGCTAGTTTCTCATCAATACCTGCCGCCATTCAGCTCCCATCCTCCTTTCCGATCAATAGCCGCTCTACATCCCCGGAGAGACCCCTTGAGTCAATTGATCCCGTGAAGTCGACTCTCGCCAGCCATGCCAATGTTTGCCCACTTGGTAGGGGCTCGAGACTTCTGGGGGCACAGAAGTCATAATAGCTTTCTATTATTAGAGAGTCCCGCAGAGTTGGCAGCAGGGCTTCCTGGCATCTCACATGTGCGCCCATCTCTGAAGACCGACACGTGGGATAACAGCCTTACTCGATTGTCTGCCCCTTGGCACGGGTGCCCGAAATAACGCTTCCAATGATTCAAAGCCTTTGTGTGATCGCAGGAGCGATCGGCTCTACCAGCTGCCACGGCCACCTGCCGTGCGTCCCTAGTTTCCGGCCTTCTTTCTCTTTCAATACATAAAGGAAATGGTGAGTTGAGAGGTCCTCCTGTCTTGCTTAGCCTCCAGCAAAGCCTGGCTTCTTCTAGAAGTAGCCAAAAGGAAGGAGGAAGATACTGCGCTGTCTGTTCCTCATTCCTTGCTGCAGCTGATGCTAAGCAAAGTTGGGACCTATTGGCGAGTGAGGGATTGGATTGCTATGCTAAGGGAAAGGCAAGGGGCGCTCAGCCCAGATGACTGTAGCAGTCCATAGCATCGTAAAATAATAGAATCATAGAGCTGGAAGAGAGCCCAAGGGCCATCCAGTCCAACCCCCGTCATGCAGGAACTCCCAATCGAAGCACCCCTGAGAGATGGCTATCCAGTCTCTGTTTAAAAACCCCCAAAGAAGGAGACTCCACCACACTCTGCGTTGTCAGAATTGACAGCTGCTAGAGTTGCCTTGGAGGCATTTTGCCCCACTGAGCCTCTCTCTCTAGGGCTTTTGTGTGAATTGTTTATTGTGCCATGCTCAGGCTGGCAAAACCTTGTAGTTTAGCTCTGTACATTTCTGCAAATAGCCATACTTCTTGTTCCTCTGCCTCTCCTCCACCCAGTTCAAAGTACGGTGGGCCCTTAGTATCTGCTGGGATTTGGTTCCAGGACCCCCATGGATATCAAAATCTATGGATGCTCAAATCCCATGAAATACAATGGCATAGTAAAATGGTGTCCCTTATATAAAATGGAAAAATTAAGGTTTGCTTTTGAGGAATATATATATATATATGTGTGTGTGTGTATTTGCAAGCCATAGATGATTGGATCTGTGGATAAAGAATTGGATCTGTGGATTGGATCTGTGGATAAAGGGCCAACTGCATGCAATGCTGGTAAGCTTTGGTGGAGCTAAATCCACTTATAGCTGTATGTTGTTGTTGTTGTTGTTGTTGTGTGCCTTCAAGTTGTTACCAACTTATGGCAAGCCTAAGTTGAACCTATCATGAGAAAGTCCACTGGGGGCTTGTCTACACAATCCAAATACTCCTCATTCCAGTTGAATAGAATGTGATCCAGCAGGGATTTGAACCCTGGTCTCCGGAGTCAAAGTCCAACGCTCAAACCACTACGCCACACTGTCTCTCACTCTAAGCTCCATAGAACCAAAGACCAAACCTCTACCTTCTCTCTGCTCCTTCTGCACTCCCTTTCTTTTTTTCCTGCTTGCTTTTTATAAAAAGGCATGTGCAACCGTTCGTGATCCGAAGCCGGGAGCTTTTCTGTTTGGCTGCCAAAACCCATCCTTTACCTTCCCACCTTCGTTGGGTTGCTTGATAGCCTCCGAGAGGAAAACTTTGCTTGTCTTTGGTGACAGCTCAGGCTGCGGGGCTCTTTCTCCGCACGAGAAAGATGCAAGAGAGGCTGTATTTTTAGACTCCATCCTCACGATTCTCCACTCAGGGGATCCTATTTATAGAGCACAGGACTGAGCCGGAATACTTTGACCGGCGGGGAAAAAGGGAGAAACGTGTCTCTCTTGCCCCACAATTCGGGAGCAAAACAGCAGTCAGGCTGCATAAAGGCCTCCGGGATTCCAGCTGACAGTCTAAGGTCTAATCTGCACTGCAGAAATAATGCACTTTGCTTTAACAGCCCCAGATCAGTGCTATGCAATCCTGGGATTTGCAGTTTGGTGAGCTATTTAGCCTTCTGTTGCAGAATGCTCTGAATCCACCGCAAAGCTACAAAATCCATGGATGCTCAAGTCCCATTAAATACAATGGATAGTAAAACAGTGTCCCTTATGTAAAAAGGCAAAGTTACAGTTTGCTTTTTGGAATTTATACACACGCACATATATATATATATATATTTGAATATTTTCAAGCCATGGATGGTTGAATCTGTGGATAGGGAACTCTTGGATATGGCAGGCCATTTGTACCGTCATAGTATGTAAATTTAAAATGTTAAAAGTGTTTTCTCACACCTGAATGTCTCTAGGAGCCCAACATTATCTTTTTCCCCATGTTGCCAACTTTCCTTTCCTAGCACCTTCCACTTTGCTGAGCATCATTATCTTTTCCAATGAGTCACATCATCTTAGGATAGGTCCAAAGAATGACAGTTTTTCCACAGGTTCAATAAAATATTTAAATCCTTGTGAATTTTTTCGTTTTTCTTCCCTTCCTGTAGCCATGGGGAGTTTATGGGCTAATGTTTCAATCAGAGCCAACTGCCCCATCTTTTTAATCATAATTTGAATCCATTGGTTCAAGCCCTGTTCTCTCAAATACCAGGAAACAAACTCATTCCGTCTTCTCCATGATGGCCCTTCATGACAGTTCAGAATCCAGAAATATTTATGTCTGGATATTCAACGTGATAAAAGATAATAATGCTGGGTGAGGTGGAAGGCAGTAGGAAACGCAGAAGGCCATATTGTATATAGATCGGTTAAATAAAGGAAGCCACAATCCCTGAGTTTGCAAAAGCTGCTGGGGATCATGGATCTTGAAGGTCTCTCCTTCATAGGGTCCCTATAAATCAAAGCTGACTTGATGGGAACTAGCAACAATAGCATTGAATATCTTTGGTTTCATTGATGTGGGTCCTTTAACATCTGGACTTTTCATTGCGATCTAAGAGTTTGTGGTTGTTGTTATGTGCCTTCGAGTCATTTTTGACTTATGGTGACCCAAAGCCAAACCTATCCTGGGGTTTTCTTGGCAAGTTTCTTCAGAGGGAGCCATCCTCTGAGGCTGAGAGAGTGTGACTTGCCCAAGGTCATCTGGTGGGTTTACATGGCAGAGCCGGGCTTCGAACCCTGGTCTCCAGAGTCAAAAAGTCCAACGCTCAAACTATTGCACCACAATGGCTTTCCTCGTGGAAGAGTTGGATTTACAGTACTAATTTTCAGGTTTATCGCTGACTGTTCCTTGCTCTTTCTCTTGTCCTTTGCAGCAAGCTTCCCAGCTGGGCCCGTGCAGTGACCCCACGGATATTCTACATTACAGAGAAGGCCTGGAACTATTATCCCTATACCATCACAGGTAAGAGAGCCCTTCTAAAAATGGCCCAAGAGTAGGCTTCACTCAGGATCCCATTTCCAGCAGTGGCCAGCCAGATTCCTTTGGATACTACCTAAAAAAACGGTACGCAAATTGATCTTGTAGCACCTTTGAGACTAACTGAAAGAGAGAGGTTGGCAGCATGAGCTTTCCTAGACTTCAATCTACTCCTTCAGATGCATGCAGTGGAACAGAGAATCCAGAGAGAGAGACCTATATATGCCACTTGTGGGTGAGAATGTCAATCGAAATTCAAAACCTTGTGGGTATGGAGATTCACAATGTCTCTGGACTCTCCACTCTGTGGATCTGAGGAAGTAGGTTCAAGTCTACAGAAGCTCATGCTACCAGTTTCTTTTGTTCAGTTAGTCTCAAAGGTGCTACAGGATCCCTTTGCAGACTGATTTTCCAGACTATGTCTTTGAATTCTACCACATAAGCAAGATATTATGACTGAACCTGAGGTAGCCCTTGTTGTTGGTGGTGGTGGTGGTGTTAACTGCCCTTGATTTGAGCTCGACTTATGGCAACCCTATAGATGAGACATCTCCAAGAAGACCCTCTGTCCTCCACTGCTCTGTTTAATTCCTGCAAGCCCTTAATCCCCAAAGTGACCTCCTTAATAGAGTCCTGTAGCCTTCCTCTCTTCCTCCTTCCCTCCACCTTTCCTAACATTGTTGTCT